ATCGTGAGTTTAAATAGTGGACCCACGGAATCCGTAACAATTGGTGTCGGAAGTGCGATTCAAGAGGATTTTATGAAGAAATTAAGTGGATTGGAAGATTTTTAGACCGAATTAGAGTATTTTTATGGTTGGTACAAGGGAGCAAGCGAAGAAAATGGAAGAAGTAAGCAAATTATTGGGCGATTTTATGGAGAATATGAGAAGAGAGAAAGCTGAAGCACAGGACCGGCTTGAGAAAATTTTTGAAGATTTGAAAATTCAACGACAACAAGAAAAACAAGAAGAACAAGAAAGACTACGTAAAGATAAGGAAGAGGAAAAATTACAACGACAACAAGAAAAACAAGAAGAACAGGACCGGCTTGGGAAAATTCTGGAACGCTTAGAGGCGCGTTATCAGAAAGAAAGACAAGAGGAACAGGACCGGCTCGAGAAAATTTTACAAGGTTTTGAAGTGCGTCGACAAGAAGAAAAACTTGAAGAGCAGGACCGTATCAAGAAAAGTTTTGAAAAAATGAAAAAAAAGCAACAATCAATGTTGGAAGTACGTTGCCAGGAACAACAGAACCACTTCCAAGAAGCTGTAGAAGATCTGGAGGAGCGCCTTCAGCAGAAGATAGAAAAATTAGAGATGGACCTACAGAAGACCAAGGTACAAGTAAGGACACCTGGCGTTCATGGAACTGCGAACCTCAAGGCCCCGACCTACGATGGACAGACCACCTGGACGATGTACCACCGCCAGTTTGAAGCAGCGGCTGCTGCCAATGGATGGACTGACCAAGAGAAAGCAGCAGCACTTGTCATCGCCCTGCGTGGCCCTGCCCTGGAACTGTTGCAAACTATTCCTGCAGCCCAACAACAGGAATACCAAACTTTGATTGCTGCACTGGACAGAAGATATGGCGACCAACATCGACGTCAACTTTACCAGACTTACGTCGGCTGGTACACCTGGCATATCCAGAAGCACCGGAAGGATTTAGGGAGAAACTCGCTGCTCAGTGTTTTATCAGCGGACTGAGGGACAACGAACTGCAGAGGGCGCTGCAAATATCCCGATTTTCTACCAGCAGCGAAGCACTGGTCAGGGCGCTAGAAATTGAAGCTGCTTTTAGCGCCATCCCTAGACCGAAGATAAGATCGGTAACGGTCGAGGAACAGCCCGGAAGTTCTCACATACGTTTGGAGGAGATGTTTAGTAAACTATGTGAGTTACTAGTGAACAAGGGTAGCAACAACACCCAGACAGAGAACCATAGAAGATCCCAGGACATAAGGTGCTTTAGATGTGGCAGGAATGGCCACATCAAACGGGATTGCCGCGTTCAAATGCGATCCCGTTCCCATCCAGAGAACGTAGGCACCAGGAAAACTAAAATCAGTCAATACTAAGGGGCAAGTATTGACTGGGGAGAACAGAGCCCCCAGGATTTTTTCCATTAGAAGTCTAGGAAAAACCGCTGACAGTTTGGTGATCAACGGGAAGGTCAATGGTAGAAGAATTCGAATGACTGTGGACACAGGCGCTATGGTATCGTTGGTGCGGACTAACTCAGTGCAAGGATTGAAGATGATGTCTCTTAGAAGAAGAGTGTATTTACGTACAGTTACGGGGAAAATGGCCGTTGTACGGGGAGAGGCTTTCATGGAATTGGAGTTAGGGAATATGAAGTTTCGGCATAGCGTTTTAGTGGCAGACATTGAAGATGATTTTATCATGGGTATGGATGTGATCAGTCATCATGGTTTTTCGTTTGATCACCATAGAAACATCCTGAAAATCGGAAATGAGAAATTTTCTGTATCTAAAGAGAAGAGACCAGGAAATATGGAAGAAAGATCATCCAAAATTGTGATGATACCTGGTGATACCAAGAAGACTGTGTTCGGGAAACTAGAGAAAACCGTTGGTGCCGTGTAGGACGGGTACAAATTATCGACAACGAGCCAGATCGACGACGAGCTACTTTGGGCAAGAAAATGAAACATCGCGAAAGCACTATCAGAGTAAGGAATTTTAAACTGAGAACTGACGAACAATGGACGACGATACAGTTGAGGAAAGATCAAATGGAAGATCCAGACATCGGAGCAATACTACGGCTCAAGGAAGGTAACGGCGAGAGACCACCGTGGCAGGATATTGCGGACAGAGGGCTCGTTTTCAAAGCTCTCTGGGCTCAGTGGAATTCACTGGTGATTGAGAATGGATTGATAAAGCGCACGTGGGAAAGTGCGGATGGCAGGACAGTAACAACTCAGTTACTGGTACCAAGGAAGAAAGTCACCCAGGTATTGGAAGAAATTCACGGTGGTAAAACTGGAGCCCATCTTGGAGTAAACAAGACCTTGAGTAAGCTGAGAGACCGTTTTTACTGGGTGGATTATTGCGAAGATGTTAAGAAATGGTGTCAACGTTGTAAGATTTGCGCAGCTAGACAAAGACCAAGTACTCGATCTGGGGAAGAAATGGAACAGGATAGCGTTGGACTGTCGTTCGAAAGAATCGCTAGGAAGGAAAGATTATTGGACATTCATAAGGCCGTTAGAAGTAAGATTGCGCTAGCCAGTGACCGGATGAAAGCTCATTACGACCTCAGAGCTAATTCTACGGGATTTCAACAGGACGATAGGGTATGGTTGTATAACCCACAGCGCAAGAAAGGAAGGTCCCCAAAGTTAACTCCAGCATGGGAAGGTCCTTATACAGTCATCAAGAGGATAAATGATGTTGTGTACCGGATTCATCGCAGCCCTAGAAGTAAGATGAAAGTAGTTCATCTGGATCGATTGAAGAGATACCAGACAGGAAACCTTGATCGGGACGATCAAATTTGAGAAGGGGGCAATGTCAAGGTGTATTACTGGTTGCATAACTGCATACTGCTAAAAAATCGCAATGTGCATTGAGGAACCTGGCGCATTCGCCAGAAAGTAAAGAAAATTATAGAATTCTTTAGAAAAATCTAGAAACAACCGAAAGGGGGGTATATAAGGCCCGCGCTTTCACAGTTGGACAAGTTTAAGTTTGAAGTTTGCAGTCTGAAGATAGTCTGAAGTTTGATAATACCGCGAAATACCGTTAGAGTAATAGTAGTTGCATAAGTTGTGTTGTAAATAGTATAAGTTGTGTGTACAGAGTGAAACAAATAAATTCGTTAAGTATTTTATCGTGAGTTTAAATAGTGGACCCACGGAATCCGTAACAATATTAATCAGTTAGCCTTGCATACTGCAGATAGTGTTAATGACTTGTCTATTTTGTGTAAAAGATTGGAAGAAGTCGTGCAGTTAACTTCTCAATCTATTTCTAGAAAAAAAATCTCATTTATCTTATTTGGACGACTCACAGCCCAGTACTTCTTTCTGCCTCTGTACATAAAAAGCAGTCTTATGTTAGGAAAAACATATCTACCTCTAACAAGAATTCGTTTTAAAATAACGTTCAGAAGTCTACTGAAAATTCTAAGGACTCTAAATCTAAGATAATTTGTTTCAATTGTAATTTACCTAATCATACGTATAATTCTTGTAGGGAAAAACGTAAGTTATTTTGTTTTCGTTGTGGTGAGCCTAATGTTAAAGTTTCAAATTGTAGTAAATGTTCAAAAAACTAGTTAAATCGCCAGTTATTGCAAGTGGTCGATTTCTTGGTGATAGCTCAACCACTAAAAGTTACTTTAATATTTTTGAGTGGAGAAAAATGGCTTAAATATGTTTCAGATTTTTATAAAACACCATTTCATAATTAGCTCAGGGCCGATACATCGTTTTACACGGGCGACCTTCAACAAATTAGAGACAAGCTGCAATTTTGCATGGAGCTTCATTTTGTAGATCTTTAAACATCCTGAAACCCCAGCGATGAATCGTTGAGCCCGTCACCCTAAAACCATCCCTACAAGGGGTAAAAATGGCCCTTTTTTTACTTTTTCTTCAATAACTCTAAAACTACGAATTTTAGGAAAAAAAGTCACGAGCAAAAAATTGAAGAGAAGAAAATTTTCTACCACATAGGTAAAGAACCAAAATTTTTAGAATTTCAGTGGCGCAGATTCTTTAATTTAGGAGGATTATTTTAATAGCCCACCATTTTGTGTTTAACTTCAAATGAAAGCATTTTTGAGATAAATCTCGATACCCAAAAAATTATTAGAATACAAGTTCCTATAAAATCGATCTTTTTAATAAAGGTAAGTTACCAGTGACTGAGATACTTTTTTTAAATGTGCGTTTTTTACATTTTAAAAACATTGAATAAGAAAAATTGCAGTTTTACAAATAATTTCCTATGAAATAGGTATATTTAGGTACTAGCCCAGGAACCCTGGGTGTATCAGGGACAAATTAAAGGGTTGTCTGGAAAAAATTCCAGTGTAATATATGATAACAGGCAGGAATTTCCCCGAGCCTGTATTCTTATAAGAAACAACATTAACTACACATGTGTTTCAGAATTTACAACCCGAGATCTTGTTCCAATCATGGTTCAACTTAATATCGAGGATTGTAGCAAAAATATCGTGATTGCCTCTGCATACTTTCCTGGTGGTGGGCAGACGCCGCACAGTGGTTCCAAATGGTGAAAAAGTGCCGCATGTGATTTTATTGACGTAATTTTTTGGTTAAGGGATACATTTTGTAATTGATTTTGTGGAGCACAAAGTTAAGGTTTCAAGGTATTAAAAAACGTCAATATTGTGAAGTCCTTAACATCCGCAAGACCAGGACGACTGTTCTACATCCACGCGTCAGCTGCACTCGTCTATTTATAACTGCCCTCTTTAGGCCACAGCCGCCGGCATTTATACCTACAGCTAAAGATTTCTAGAATAGTCCATAGATCGTTAGGTGCATAGAGAAGGTTTCGAATGTTCTCGTATGTACTACTCCATTCCAGTGGGACTCGATTCTTCTCGAATCTTCGAATGAATCATTACGGTGTCTATTCTTTAATGCGATGTTAAGGTCATCCGAGGGCGGGTCATATAGTTAGGTTAGGTCGAGTCCACACCGGTCCGCAACAATATGAATTGCTAGTTAAAAAACGCCATCTTCAAACTCATTAGTAATTTCGTCATCTTCATCATTACTTGTAAAATTGTCCTCGTCAGAACTCATATCGTACCCCACACCCATCATGGCATTGTTAACAGAAGTTTCCTCATTGAGAAAATCTAGAGGTAGGTGTACATTTTCATCCTTTTTTCTTGTCTTTGATGACAACTGAAATTTCTTGAATAAGAAAAAAAATAGAGGATCAGATGTTAACATAAATCTGTTAAAAATATCTTCTAAAGTGTCTTTCCGAGAAATCTTTCTTGAGAAGTCTGTACGATATCTTTTAAAATCTTTGTTGCGGGCTTCTTGTGGTTCTTCACTCAATGCTCCTTAATTAAAAAAATAATTATTGTTTGGTATTAAAGTTTTATAAGAAATATTACCTACTGGAATGAAAGGAAATTGTTTCATGTACTCATGTCCATGGTAAAGAATTTTATGAACTGTTGGTGAAAACGTGAATTGAGGGTAGGTTTTGTGAAAAAGTTCAGCAGTTTTACGTGCATAATTTTCATAAGACTCAGGTGAAATAATTCTGTTGCATGATATCGCAGCTAGGACATTCGAGAACCTTTCAATAATAGGTAACTCTATCCCTATAATTTCAGATGTAACTTTCGAGTTCTGAAAAAATCTCCTAGCTGTATTTCCGTCATGGGAAATACCAAACCCTGGTTTTGGTTTACCTATGTTTAAACCAGTTTTCTCTTTAAACTGCTTTTGTATTATTTTCTTTTTAGTTTCTTGTTCTTCCTTCGTAGAGGCCAGTCTAAAAATAAATTAAATATAGATGGATAATGCTTGCTGACATGACAGCAACTTCTCATCTAACTAACAATGTTTAATTCTCTCATCTAATATACATACTTGTATGAACATCTCAGTAAAAATTCCATGGAGTTAATTTTTTGCATGCAAAGGGGATATTCCAAATTTCAAAACATCTGCATTGGTTTGGCTCGGCAAATTATTCAAAGTTTTGGTCCAGCTAGACAAACAGGGCATCTCTAAAAAGTACAATAGGTTTAAACATTATGCAGAACGTTTAAAATATTATATTTAACGAAAACTCATTTACCGAAGTTGCAGCATTTTTGCACACCGCATTTATTATTTTTCCATCTACCATTGTACAGTAGAATCTATGTCTTACAATGACTTCTACGCTATTATTAATTTTATTTTACTGTCCTGTATTTCCACAATTTCCTTCATCACTCTAGAATACTCTGTTAGAATTGTATTACAGTCTTCCTTGCAGAAAGCCATTCTCATTGGTCGACATAAGCTAAAATTTGAAAATGTAATTTATCAAAATTTAGATTAGGCTCCTCCAAATTTAGTCTAAGTCTAATAACTCGACGAAATTTAGATAAAATTTGATATGTAGTAACATATTGATGTAGTTGGTAGGAAAAAAGGCTCATAAATTTCAGGTTTCCAATCTTCATACCCTTTTTCTTCAGTATTTTTAATCATACCTTGAAGAATTTGGATTTTCATTTCTCCAAATAACATCTTTCTGAGAATCATCTCTATATGTTAATGAAATAGGCACCAAGTTAGTACAAAATACAGTAGAATCGGAATTTTTTGGATCCATAAATCGTTGCTTAAATTCCGAATGACCACTGCTTCCATCCATACCCCATTTATGTGTGGCAATAATATCACATGTACTATTCAGATCAGCAATATTAATTAAAATTCGTTCTACTGTGGTATCAACTAAATTCTGAAGAGTCACTTTGGCTTCAGTTTCAGTAAAATCATCAGGATTTAAAACAGGATAGCTCAACTTTTTATATTTAAGTATCTCCTGGTATGAAGGGTACAGATCCGTACCTGATGAAAAACATAATGAAAAAAAAATATTTATACAAATTGCGAATTAATGAAATTACCTTTCCAAAGTGTAGCTGACCGCATGTTTTGGTACTGTGCCTTTGTTTGCTTGCTGTTGATTATAAATAAAGCGATGGCTTCATTAGGCGTAAATTTTTTGGGAATATTTTGTTTCAAAGCAGCCAACACTTCATCCGGAGAAGAAATAGCGGCTGAAACTGCTTTAGCAACATCATGTTTATGTTCTTTTTTAAGAACAGAAACGGTTGCGTAAGCAAGGATGTCTGAAGTATAATTATCTCTGACGTCTATAATGAAGTATATAATATATGGTAAATACAGTGCACAAAATTGAAATAAAAAAATCACCTTTCGTAGTTCTGTCTTTTTGAGATTTGGATAAATCGGAAAAACATTTTCTTTTTGATGGACCGGGTTCCGATTCCCCAGTGCATTGCGAATTTTCGTCTATAGCTACGTCACTGAATACATTTTTTTCTAACCAATCAGCATTTCTCAAACTAAATTTTTGCCAAGAATAAGATGAATCTCTCCATCTTTTGGTCCATTTTTGAATGAATGATTTGAGTATTTTCTTAGCGGATTCTTGTTCCGTATTGTAAATATCACAATAATTGGTTAGATATAGGGTAATTTCTTCCAAAATTTCAGCTTCCGATTTTCCATTGAATCCATTCTTAAGAAAACGTTTACATAAATTCATACGACTGATGTTACCTAAAATGTCAGGTGTTTTTCAATTGATGAATAGACGCCAGAAGAAATCACCAAATGGTTTTTTTTTTCTATCTGGCATCAAAAAATTTAGTTTAGTGTAAATTGGGAGTCGCCAGTTCGTATTTTTTTAAAAACGAAAACAATATTAGGTAAAAATTCTATTTCGGCGGGTCATGGCGGGTCTAGATATTGAACTAAAAAGTAGGAGGGGTTCTACAAAGACTTTAAAAATAAAAACTAGCGTGGTGTTCGGTGGTGCTTTTAAGATATTTGAACTCGAAAGACAAATACGGATTATTAAAAAAATACTTACCTGGATGGCCTTCCTCCATGGTTGTATTACTTTTCACACGTATTATTGTTGATTTAATAAAACACCAAAATTTATCTTAATGCTGACCTCCGTTCGATTTACAAAGTGTACAAATGATAAAAATCTTAAAAATGCTCGCCATCAAAAAATAATCAACAAAAAACATAGACGAGATAGTGATAAATGGTTTATCGGGTGCGTATTTGAAATATGTTATTAAAAGAGAGATTTATCAGATATGAATTTTAACCGATATGCGTCACTTTTTGCCATATCGGAACCACTGTGCGCCGCCTCCGGAAGTAGAGGAGCTCGCGCGATTCTGCAGCCAACGGCGACTACCTCTGCTATTGGGATACGCACTCCAATACGCACAATGAGGTAGGGGGAAACACTAATACTAACAGTAGAGGTGAGTTTTTACTAGAATTCCTCTTAGCATACAATCTTGAAGTTCTCAATATAGGGAACACCCCCACGTTTGTGACAAAAACGCGGGCGGAAGTATTAGATTTAACAATCGGGAGTTCTAGTGTAACTAGTTACGTGGAAGATTGGAGGGTCTCAACGGAACCTTCCCTATCAGATTACAGAATCATGGAGTTCAAATTAGGAGGAATCATACTCCAAACTGAAATTCGAAGGAATCCAAGAAAAACCGATTGGAAACTATACCACACCAATCTCGTAGACAACCTGGACCAAATAGATGCAGGTAGGGCTAGGAACCACCTGTATCTAGAATGGTACGCAAAGGAAGTCAGTGGTGCAATATTGGATGCATATGAATCTAGTTGCCCCACAATTAAGGGCATACAAAAAAGTAACAACAAGCCCTGGTGGAACAAAAAGCTGGTCAATCTTAGATCGGAGGTCCGACGACTCTTCAACAGAGCCAAACCCAGCGGCGAATGGCAGCTCTACGCCGAGAAATTAACTGAGTATAATAAGGAGATTAGAAGGGCAAAGCGGTCTTACTTCAGATGCTTTTGCGAAAACATCACTTAAACTACTTATGCAGCTAGGCTACACAAATCTATGGCCAAGAGTGTGCCGATCCCCAACATGGCACTTAAGAAACCTGACGGAAGCTACACGGAAGGAGATGAAGAGACCTCCTATTTCATACACAATCCTCGCAGGGAAGACTGGGAGACGGCCAAGCTAGTAATAACAGAACAAAAACTGAAATGGGCTATTGACACCTTTCAGCCTTATAAAACAGCAGGAATAGATGGGATTTTTCATGCCCTTCTAAAGAAGGGTCAGGAAATAGCTACACTCCATCTATTAAACATTACAATAAGCAGCTTAGCGATAGGATATATACCAACCATCTGGAGAAGAGCAAAAGTCATCTTCATACCCAAAATAGGCAAAACTGACTGGGCTAACCCCAAATCATTTAGGCCTATTAGTCTCACATCGTTCATATTAAAAACGATGGAGAAAGTAGTGGACAACCATATTAGAGTAAATCATCTACAGGTTAAACCACTGCACGATAGTCAGCATGCATATAGAGCGGGCAGATCCACAGAAACTGCTCTGTACCAGTTAACTGAGCTAATACAGGCAAGCCTGGATAGCAAAGAAACAGCACTTTGTGCCTTCTTGGACATTGCAGGGGCGTTTGACAATATACCTCATAAGGTGGTCATGCGATCTCTTGAAACAAGAGGGGTGAACGGTACGATAATTCGCTGGTTTTGGGAAATGCTCTCAACATGAACAGCAGAGACTGAGATAGGTAACAAAACTGTAGTTGTTAAAACAACGCAAGGAACTCCACAAGGTGAAGTGACCTCCCCCCTACTGTGGAGCTTGGTAGTGGATGAACTACTGGAAGAATTAACTCTAGCGGGAACACACTGCATAGGGTATGCAGATGACATAGTCATCATTGCAAGGGGGAAACATGAAGGCACCCTGTGTGATATTATCCAAAGAGGACTCCGGCATCGCTGAGAGATGGTGCAGGACTGTCGGGCTGAGTATTAACTCAGATAAAACCGCAGTAATGCCATTCACCAGAAAGCGAAGTTTGAAAAACTTGAAAAGAATCTATCTAGATGGAAAGGAAATACTGCCATCACAGGAAGTGAAATATCTGGGAATAACCCTAGATAGTAAACTCCTCTGGAACAGGCATATTAAGAACATTACCAGCAAAGCCACAAAGGCTCTCATGATATGCAGAAGACTGGCGGGAAATAGGTGTGTCTGCGCCCCTAACATTTTGCGCTGGATGGCAAAACTGACTGCATGATAGTAAGACCCATGATTACTTATGGAGTAGTTGCTTGGTATACAAAACTAGAGCAACGTACAGCAAGGCAAAACCTGTGCAAAGTACAGAGACTGGCATGTATCTTTATCACAGGTGCCATGAGAACATGTCCAACAGCAGCAATGTAGGTCATTCTAGACCTAACACCACTGCATATTATCGGTAGTTATGCCAATGCGACAATGATTAGAATGGTCATTGACGGAAACAGTACTGGGAGAATTTTCAGGTCAGGGGTTTGGAACACCCTCAAAAAGAAAATTCCACTTCTCCAACTCCCAGTGGATGACATACCAAGAATTTACAACTTTGACTGTCTCCTTAACGAACACCTCAGTAGGCTGAAACTGAGAAACAACGGCGAATGCAGATTTTGTGGGGAAAATGGGGAAACACCAGAACACCTTATCACTGAGTGCGCCGAGACGACGACCATTCGTGCCATGAACCTTGGTACGTCTGATGTCGAGGATGGGAGAGCTGGCCTCTGTGGAGCCGTCTCAGATACTGGCTTTTGTTAAAGCCCTGAGACTGTATGATGAGTTATAACTCGTTATAACTTAAGAAAGGGGAACACACAATAGATCTATAAGGTCGGGGTGATTAACTTCCCTCCTAAACATTCTACATTCTTCTACAGGTATATTCAAAAATTTACACGTTTGATAACAAAATAAGAAAAACCTTAGCTCAAAAATAGGATAACTTATGTT